ACCAGAGGACAGCGGGCAGAAGGTGAGTAAGGGCCGGGCAGAGGGTCAGGGAGCAGGCGAGGCGGTCAACGTAGGTACAGGCAGGGTCAGACAGCAGGCAAGGCAGGATAGTCCAAGGACAGGCAGGATCAGGGAACAGGCAGAGCAGGCAGGTCAGGGACAGGCAGGGTCGGAACCGGGTAGGCAATCTGGTAACAAACGCGTGAAAGACTAGCATGAAGGCAAAGTACGATCTGGCAACGGGTGTGTGTCTGGTGAGGGTTTAAATACTGGCAGTAAAGCTAATGGGTGCAGAAGAGAAAGAGAGTGAGCAAAAACGTGGGTGTGGTTAACAGGTGAGACAGGTGAATGGAAAACTACTGGTGAATGATGGAGCAGACTGTGACAGAACCCCCCCCTTAATGGACACCATTAATAGACCACCTCCAGAACACCGAGGTAAATTGGGGACCACGATCGGAAACCACATCGGTAGGTAGCCCATGGAGCCGGAACACGTGGAGCAGGACCAGCTCCGCCGTCTCTTTAGCTGAGGGGAGCTTGGGTATCGGCACAAAATGAGCCATCTTACTGAACCGGTCTACCACCGTCAAAATGGCAGTGTCCAGAGAAATGTGGGACCAGGGGCGATGAGGGATAGGCAGAGGTTGTAGGAGACCAGCAGGAGCTTGGTGAGAAGACTTGTGTTGATTGCACACAGGGCAGGCATTAACAAATTCCCTGGTGTCCTCCTTAAGTGTTGCCCACCAGAACCTTTGCTGGACTACCTCCCGGGTACGTTGGATACCAGGATGGCAGGTGAGTCTGGAGTTGTGGGCCCACTGGATAACATCAGACCTCAACATCTGCGGAACGAACAGGCGGTTCGGAGGACAGGCACTGGGTCCCGGCTGGTCATCCAGGGCGGCCTTGACCCTCTCCTCCACTTCCCAGATAAGGGCGACGACGAGCTGAGGAGTCGGAAGGATGGTGTCCGAGCCTCTGGGAATGTTACCTCCCTCCCCAAACTGACGAGACAGAGCGTCAGCCTTAATGTTCCGAGAACCAGGGCGGTAGGAGAGGGAGAAATTGAACCGAGTGAAAAATAGGGCCCATCTAGCCTGTCGGGAATTCAGTCTGCGGGCCGACCGGATGTATTCCAAATTCTTGTGGTCGGTCCACACCAGGAAAGGTTGACTGGTCCCCTCGAGCCAGTGACGCCACTCCTCCAGGGCCAACTTCACTGCTAGCAGCTCCCGGTTTCCTACATCATAGTTTCTTTCCGCTGGTGTCAAACGCCTCGAAAATAAAGCACAGGGATGGAGTTTTTGGCTGTTTGTTGCTCGCTGAGACAGGATGGCCCCCACCCCCATATCAGAAGCATCCACCTCCAAAACAAATTGTCTTTCAGGATCGGGTACTCGGAGGATGGGGGCGGAGGTGAACCTGGCCTTAAGGTTCTGGAACGCCTCCTCAGCCGAGGAGGACCACTGGAACATAACCTTATAGGAGGTCAGGGCTGTGAGTGGAACGGCCAAGGTGCTGTATCCACGAATGAACCTCCGGTAGAAGTTGGCGAACCCGAGGAACTGTTGTAGCCGCTTCCGGGACTCTGGAACCGGCCAGGAAGTGACTGCATTGACCTTGGAGGGATCCATCTCAATGCTCCCATGTCCCACGATGTATCCCAGAAAAGAGACAGAGGATGTGTGAAACTCACACTTCTCCGTTTTAACAAACAGCGAGTTCTCCAGCAATCTCTTGAGAACCGCCTGGACGTGGTGCACGTGTTCTTTCAGAGTTTTGGAAAAGATCAGGATGTCATCCAAGTAAATAAATACATGTCGGTCCAACATGTCACGGAGCACGTCATTTACCAACGCCTGGAATACTGCAGGGGCGTTGGTAAGTCCAAAAGGCATCACCAGATACTCGTAGTGCCCCGAGGCGGTGTTGAAGGCGGTCTTCCACTCATCCCCCTCGCGAATACGTACCAAGTGGTACGCGTTACGCAAGTCCAGCTTGGTGAATATGGTTGCTCCCTGCAGCAACTCGAATGCAGAGGAGATAAGAGGCAGTGGGTATTGATTCTTTACAGTAATGTCATTAAGACCCCGAAAGTCGATACAGGGCCTTAGGGTCTTGTCTTTCTTCTCCACAAAGAAGAACCCCGCTCCAGCGGGTGATGAGGAAGGGCGAATAATCCCAGCCGCCAGAGAGTTATTGATGTAAGTCTCCATGGAAACTCTTTCCGGAGCAGACAGGGAGTACAATCGACCCCTGGGAGGGCTGGTACCGGGATGCAGGTCGATGGCACAGTCGTAAGGCCGGTGTGGTGGTAGGGAAGTAGCCCTCGTCTTGCTGAATACTTCCTTAAAGTCCAGATATTCCGGTGGAACCCCTGTAACATCCGGAACTTGGCTGGGGTTCACCGAACGCTGAGGCGCGGCAGCCTGTTTCAGACAGATCTGATGACAAGAGGGGGAAACTGAATAGTTTCGTGATGGTTCCCGGACAGAAGCATGTGAACGGGTACAGTCTGATGAGTCACTGTCCCCAGCAGGTGACCGTCTAAGGCGCTGGCTGGAACTGGGAGAAATAAGGGAACCCGGTCTATTCCCAACTGCAGCATAAGCTCTTTGTCCATAATACTCGCGTCCGAACCAGAGTCAATAAAAACTGCAAGAGCCTGAGAGCTATCCGGTAATAGCAACCTGGTGTGGCTCAATGGTCTCTGAGCGGGAACAAATCCAGGGGTTTGGCTCACCAGTATGTTCCCCATTACTGCTGAGCCTTGCCTTTTACCGGGCAGCGAGAAACAAAATGGCCGGCCCGGCCGCAGTAGAGACATAGGTTACCTCGTCTGCGATGTTCACATTCCTCCAAGGTGAGGCTGGTGCGACCCACCTGCGTGGGCTCATCACCCCCTGGTTGCGGCTCTGGAGTGAGGGGAGGAGTCCCAGTCGAACCCGGATGTCGGGGCGCCCAGGCATGTTGAACTCCCTCCGACCGTCGCTCCCGTCTCCGTGTCTGGATGCGCCGATCCATGCGGGAAGTCAGCTCAATCAGCCCATCCACTGAGTTGGGCAGATCAAAAGACACCAGCTCGTCTTTAATGTAAGCCGCCACGCCACGCAGATGGGCGTCACACTGGGCTGCAGAATTCCAGTTGCTGAGGCGGCCCCTGGTGCGAAACCCAATAGCATAATCCACCACAGATCCATTACCCTGGCTCAGGCTCAGTAGTCCTCCTGCAAAAGGAACTCACCTTGTGGTATAACCGGCAAGAGAGAAAGCCTTTGAGCTCCATACTGTTTCAGAGAGAATCCTTGATAATCCATGATATGGCGTTTCATCACGGCAGCATTTAGTTTAGACAGTAGCTGCCGGGTCCCGCATGAGCTCAGACCCCTCCTTTTTATTTTTGTATCATTTTATTTTCAGCCCTTTTGAAACAGGAAGTGAAACAGAGGGATATGAGGCATGGCTAGAATGGGTGATCTGTTTGGTATTTTGAGCAAAACACTTCATAGACATGTTTTTTATATATGTGTATATCT